TTATTTGACTTTAAATTAATATTATGATAAATTATAAACCAATAATTAATTTCAATAAAAAGTAAAGTTATTAACAAAGAAATAAGCCTAATAATATTATTATTATTTTAGAAACAAAAAAAAATAAAAAATTTTTAAAAATAAAATAAAAAATATATTCTGTATAATAAATAATATAAATATAAATAATTGTATGCTTGTTAGGAGCAAAGATGTTTCAGAGTTAAGTTTTATATATTATATATAGAGAATATATAATAGAAATATAAAAAGGAAGTTTTGAGGTTATTATTAAGTATTATATATAAATATGGAAAGGAAAGAAAAGTAAAAATATGGTAATAATAAATAACTATTATAATAATGAAAAGAAATTTTTTTTTTTGGATTTAATTTGCATTATTGTAAATGAAACCATTTATTTATTCGTACGTATATGTATTGTATTTGAAAAACGATTTTTAATAATTAAATTTGGTAAATTTGTATCACAAGTTTTTAATTACACAAAAATTAATTTCTAAAATAAAAAAATTACTATTATAACCATAATAAGGTGTTTTTGGTGCAAGTATGTGGCTCTTATTGTTTTCCGTAATATATTATAGGCCTCTGTCAATGACATCCACATAAATTTTCTTGTGGATCTGCAACATCATTTTGGATTCTATCTATAAGTGATATAATCTACTTGTACTCATTTCTATAACCCCATCACTTGAGCAATACCTACCTAGTTTGTGAAAGTTCATTCTTGGATCAAGAGAAATGTTATATTCTCTTCAACTGCTGAAAATTTAGGAGCTTGGTTAATTTCAAATGGTACAAGAATGCATATGGAATTTGTGGTATATTTTTTCTGATGTTTCCTCATTTGATCCAATACCATTGAGGAATGGAAATTTGTATCTTTTTCACTCCTATTCTCTTGACAGAATGAATGGCAATTGATTATATTTTGTCTTTTTTAGATCTAAATTTTAATTTAAAATTTTATTTTTTGCTACAATATTTGAATTATAATTATTCAATAGGTCAATCATTGCTGCTTCTCTAATACTATAAGGAGTATCAAAAATCCATTGTCTAAATTTTCACATAAATATTATTTTTTTTATACCAATATTAATTGCTACTAAACATTTTAGAAAGCAGTGCTGATCTATTTTAATATGGCCAAGTTATGATGAGTTTAAGATAAAGATGGCCCTGCAACTAGGAAGTTGCAACCAAAAAAATGTTGACATCTAATGCTGCAACTGCTGTAAGTTTACAATCGCTGCAACTGTCTGCAACCATATGTAATTGCCTGCAACCTCTAGTTGATCAGCTACTTCAATCACTATAAAACTAAATTTGTTTTTATCAAAAAAATTTTTTAATTAATGATTTTATTTAAAAACAATAAATCCCATTTTGCAGTTATGTGATTCCATTTTTGATACTAAATCATCATAACTATAGTTGCAGACAGTTGCAGAGGTTGCACAGTTTCAGGGGTTGAAGACAGTTTCAGGGGTTGCAGAGGTTGCAGAAAATGTGAAAACAGTTACAGACACTAACTTTAGTTTAAGAATAAATTAGAAGAATGGTTAAATATCAAACATCCATATCAAATATCTACCATTAGTTGAATAAATTCATTACAGGATTGCATCATAGTAAAAAAAATTTTTAGATGTTTCAGCTATATAGTAAAATTAAATTAAATTATTCATTTTTAGTTGCTACAAAAAATGAATGTTTGCCATGCTATTTTTAAGATCTTTAATAATTGCCAACCTCAAATAAACAAACAACTGCAATTGATATTTCTCAATAGAAAAATTCTGAAGAGTTAGATGAGTGTTTCAAAACATTATATGATGTTGCTAATGATGTTGACTATATAGATGCTATTGCAAGGATTTACAATGAAGAACAATTACCTTCAAATATATTTCCTGATATTAAATGTTTACATAAAAAAAGAATTTATTTAATTTTGATAAAAATCAAAATCTATTAAATGGCTTTTTTTAAAGTACTTTTCTTATTACTAACTGGGTTTAAAAATGTTTGAATTAATATAAATTGGATGAATGAACCAAAAGGTGTGATCTATTCAGACTCTTAAACTCTTGTCTGCAATGCTTCTCAAACCAATGTGAAACACTGGCACTGACCCTATATATAAATATTTAGGCACCACTACAATGTATTGAGCTTTGTAGAGATTAGCCAAAAACCATCATTGCCTTTTACTCAAACTAAAGTTAATAGTGTGAGTGTGCAATCCAAGTTTAGTTTATTAATGTGATTCATATTTAAAAGGTAATCCACTAGCTCTCTAGTGACTTTAATTATGTTGGTTCTGGCCTTTGCCCCAAGATAATTAGAGATTTTCCCACTATATTATTACTGGCCTTTGCCTAATATAATGACCTTTTTATATTGTTCTGGCCACTGCCCAATATAACCTAGGCTTTCCTCTTATATATATATTGTTCTGGCCTTATATAATTCTCTTTATTATACACACAGATAGCTATTGAACACTGAATAATTACAAACCTATATACAAGTATGCTACTTGAGGCATCCCTACAAGCAAGGCTCTGAATGAATTGAATTGAATTTTAGAGTTCTGTAGTCAATTTGATTTGATTCGCGACTCAAATCAAATCAAATCAAATCAAACCAGATTCCTAAATTTTTCTTAATATATTAAATATAGTGAATCTCAATGTAGTGTACCTCAATTTAATGAATAATAACAGATTGAGGTTTAATAATAATAATAATAATAATATAATAAAATTCTTCACAATATAACGGATTTCTTGATATAGTCACAATGGGGTCTGGGACACTTTACCAACACCCACTTTACCAACACCCACTTTACCAACAAGACACTTTACCAACAGGACATTTACTGACAAGACACTTTACCAACAGGACACTTTACCAACAGGACATTTACTGACAAGACACTTTACCAACAGGACACTTTACTGACAATCTAAGTAAAGTCAAACTTGACATAGAAATGGTCTTGCGAGGAACACCACAACTCCCACAGAAACCACAAGATTGTGATCATGAAATACAGATTCAAACAGTATTAAATGACCGTAATATTAGATCAACTATAAAGTTTCTTTGGGCATTGCCTATTTCATTTTAAAATTTTTTTGTTATTTTTTTAAAAAAATTTTTTTTTGTGTACATATAAAAATAATAATAATTAATGTGCCACAAAAGTTTTTTGTAAATGATTGATAACATGAATATGCAAATTTTTATCAATTTCATCAGACAAAAAAAATATATTACACATGTATCTATATTTTATTTTTATGAACTTGTTTTTGATGCAAAGTAAGGATAATAAGTGGTGTTATTAGTTAATTAATGGTTGATTTAACTTGTTGTAAAAAACCAAATTTTTAGCTAGTTATCCAGGTCTTCACACAGTCCTTGGCAAATTGTTAACACAATACTTGTCGATAAAGTGTCCTGTTGGTAAAGTGTCTTGTCGATAAAGTGTCCTGTCAGTAAAATGTCTTGTTGGTAAAGTGTCCTGTTGGTAAAGTGTCCTGTTGGTAAAGTGTCTTGTCAGTAAAGTGGGTGTTGGTAAAATGTCCTGTTGGTAAAGTGGGTGTTGGTAAAGTGTCTGGGTCCGGTCACAATGGATAGACACATAAGAAAAATTTTATATGTTTTTATATGTGAAGCAAAATTTTTAAAAATCTGTTACAGTAAGAATTTAATTATTATTATTTGGGGCATGCTGCAACAAAACCAAGCAAAGTGAACATTGGTATAACCAAGAATTTCAGGGATCAAAATTTAGTCATTTGTAATGTGATCATAATTAATATCCCATTTGTTATCTTAAGTGATATATATAATTACCTCTATATAATAATAGTTAATATGAAGCTAATTTACATCAGATCTACTATGGAACCCAAGAATTACAGCACCATTAGAAGTATTTTAAAAAAGGAACAAGGTGAAAAAATTGCTCCTTATGTTTTCAAATAAATGATACCAAGACACTCATCAGGAAATTAATTTAGTGTAAACTTGCATAAATCTTATGATGCTGACATAATATTGCATAAATCTTACAGTGCCAATGTAAGTTTTACACTTTATTATATTAAACTTACGATTGATATGTGCAATTTTTTTTTATATTTTCCAGATGCTGGAAGCTTATCTAAAAAAAGAAAGGATTACTTATGAAATTTACCAAGAAGAAAGAAAAATAATAAATGTTAGAAAAAGAAAGCAGAATGAAAGTGTACTATTACCCAACAAAAAGTAAAAATCTTTAAAAAGGAAAATAGCTACCATTTGATAGTTGGAATGAATTTCAATTTATACAGAGGGAAATTTCCCCAATTACTTTTTTATTTTCAATCAAGATCATCTTTAGTCTCTTTGACTTCAATTTGAGCAGTTAATTGACCATTCTGTTGATCCTTTAATTTACTGTTTTCTTCTAGATGATTGGTTTTTTCTTCTAAACTTTTTGTCTTATCTAATAACTCCTGTTTTTGCTTTTTACTTCATTCTTCTGACTTTTCCTGAAATTTGGTTATTTCTTCTCTTTCAACATTCAACTCCTCCTTGGCAGTTTTCAATTCCTTTTCAAGTTCTTTGGTTTTCTTTGCTAAATGAGATTCAATAGTTTGGGAAGTTCCTTCCTCTGTGGAAAGTGTTCTGAATTTTCCATCTTTTAACAAACTGCAATAACAACCTTGTCTATTTCTTTGTAGTCTGCCACAAAGTCCACAATAAGAAAGATTATCATTTTCAAAATCCTTCTTACAATCAGCACAAATAGAACCAATATCAGCAGTAGAATCATCTTCATGGTATGCCACCAATTCGTGAGTGGCATTATCAAGAACTGGCCCATCACTAATTGCACAGTAATTACAGTATGGGACAGATGATTTTGTCCTTTCAAGAATTTTATATTCTAACTTCTTCATAACAACCTATTACTGCTTTAAAATGTGACTTTCAAACTCTTGCAAAATGTAAGTTTTGAAATTTTCTTTGATCGCATTAACTTTCTCTTTAAGTTTTTGAACTCTCTCATTAACTTTTGTCTTTGCTTTCTTTGTTAATCTTTTAATCTGTTTGATTTTATCATTTTTCTCATAAGCATCTAGTTTCTTTTTTAATATGTCATTCTCTATTCTCTGTTCAATGATAGTGGCATCTCTCTTCATATTCTCTACAAAAACTTTTCTGTCATGTCATTTTTTGGATAGATCCAGTGCTTCCAAGTTAGTTTCAATTTCGATATCTACTCTTTCTTCTAACTCCTCCACCCTATCTTCCAAGTTTTTCTTATCAGTTTCTAACTCTTTAATCTTTTGGTCTTTACCACCAATAATATCTTTAAGAATTATATCCTTAGCAGGCTTGCCTCAAATATTACCTCCTTCTTTTATTTTAGAAAAAATATGAGCTCTTTGATTTCATAGTTTCCAATCTTTTTTCAATTCAGTAGCTAACTCAGTGTCTTCAAAGTAATCTATAATAATTCTCTCAACTACTTTTTCTAGATTTTCTTTACCTTCCCATTTATAGTCATGCATAAGGCTATGTTGAAAACAAACAGTCATAGATTGATTTCTTAATGGTTTGCTAATCAATTCTCTTAAATCTTGTTCAATATTCTTGCTACAATGAGGAAATCTTTCCCTCATATCTACCAATATTTGGTGAATTCTTTCCATTGCTTCTTGCTTAAATTCAACTTCCTCTTCTCACTTTGGTCCCGTTTACTTTGTCAAAAATCATTTCATCGACAATCATTTCATCGACAATCATTTCATCGAAAGTTCAATTCGTCAAAAGTTCAATTCGTCGAAAAATATTTCGATAAATGAGGTGATGATAGTGATGGCAACAATATTGACATTGAATATTTTAGTATTGATAATAATTATTGTTTTTTAGTAGAGTGTGATGTTGCAAATTAACATGAATTGTTGTAGAAATGAACTTTCGACAAATTGAACTTTTGACGAAATGAATCAGACCCATCCACTATTGAACCTGCTCACTCACAGAGGGAAAATTCCAAACCCCACGAATCTTTGGCACCTAATTCATGCTTCTAAAAATTCTGTTAGCATATTCCTCAAAAGATTCTAATGTTAACATTGAAAAAGAGTTAAAAATTTAACACACAGAAAAAAGCCAATCAAGGTGATATCCTTCTGCATTTTCTGTAACCTTTTGGCAGCATTCACGTGAAGCTCGTGATACTGGTTCTCCACTAAGAATTTGATGGAAAGAAAACCCTTGAACATTAGGTAACGAAAAATAAACAATTTAGAATAATAAAAACTTACAAATGCCTATCAACAACTCCATCAAAACAAGAAAAAATGTGGCTTTTTATGAACACGTCTATATCTCGTTCTGTATTCTTTCTTTTCGTTATATCATTTTTGATAATTTCACAGCTGATAAGAGAAATAATTTCAAAATAGGTTATAAGTTAATCGCATATATTGTTTATTGATCTAAAGTGTATATCAACTTACCTGAATCTTAATAAGTTAAGAATATAACAAACATCAGTGTTTAAATGATCAATTTTACTATTATTATCTTCATCTTTTAACAATGTTCTTAGTAATTCTAATGTTCCCTGAGTTCCTTCTGAAAGCATAGATTCTCCCATTTGTTGCAATTTTTGAAAATTCACCTAAGATCAAAGCATATAATAAATAAAATATACATAATATAAATTTTTTTTTACTAGCAGCTTTAATAAAAACCATTGCTGTTCACCTTTGAAAGATTGTGTAGCAATATATCTGCATCATTGTCAATGTTTTTCCACGTTTTCAATTTTTTAAGTTCAAGGGAGCTTGAGAATATTTGTTGTAAATCTTTAAATTCTGATTCTGTCAGGAATTCCGATGATTCCTCCCAATCTGATCCATTTATAATTCACCACCATATCATACTAAATTTTTATTTTTTTATTTTTTAAAGAAAGTTGGATAAAATTATCTGATTTATTTTAAAAAAAGTCTTACTTTGTTTCATTTATCTTTTTAGATTTTTCTCAATAATAAATCGCTTTTTTTAACCAAGTTGGTAATTCATCGTCAAGATCGTCAAGATGAGTATTCTTAAGGAAAAATAATAAGGTCATCTCCAATTTATTTTATTATTTTCAAGTAAAAATTTATGCTTACCTCTTTTTGGGACTCAGATAAAACTGCTCTTTTTGGATTCTATTAAAGCATAGAAATTAAAATTAATCAAAAGATCATAATTTTACTGATCAAATAACGTATTATTAGCCTCTTTCAATATTAATAGATGATGTCTGCTAGAAGATTACCTTTCTTAAAATATTCTTAGATGTGTTTATCAATGGTTCATTTTCTTTTGTTCTAAGAATTGAGCGTAAATTTGTTAAAGTCCAAAAATGTAAATTAATCAACCAGCTAGAATGACAAGCAGTGGCATCATTCTTTTTAAATAACTAGAATGATGACGAATGATGGCAACAACCACCATTTAATGATAACACTTACCCGCGATCTCCAATTTCTCTTTTCCTTTTCTCTCGTGCTTTTGAGGAAGACATTTTTTTCTGGAAAAAAAAAATTTTTGTGATACTTTTATTTATGCGCGTGATGGTTGGACAAAGAAGCCCCATTACTTATTATTATTAATATTAATAATAAATAATAACAGTCGCGGGACATTGCGGATCTACAGGGGGTCAAGTGTCACACACTAATATTATGTTTGTTGACGCGATTGAATTTTTTTTTTATTTTTATTTTTTTGGAAAAACAATTTATCTTTTACAAGATGAGAGGAAGCGTGAATGTTGTTGTTCAGTACGGCTTGCTCTAAAGGAGACAAGGTGCTATTTATTGATGGCAAGAGGTACACTATTTTTTTTGTTGCATTGTATTGTTTATTGTTTAATTGTTTTGTAAATGTATTAATATGTATTGATTCTTTACTTAATATAAAATGTCTTGTTGAAATCAAACTGTGGAAGCAGAATTTGTCTGTCTCTTTAGGTATTTATTACAAGATTCTTTATGATAAACGATTGGTATTGTTTTACTTTTCATATAATCAACATTAATAATAATATTAAGTAACAATTACAAGAAGATGTTAAAGCAACACATTGATTGCTACAGAAGAAACCATTTGATCATTGTAATTTATAGATGTCAAGGCACACATGCTACCTTGTCACTTTACAGTCATTCTCATACATTCCTCATGTTCACAAGGCTAATCTGACTTGCACCCCCCGATGATACAATGATGCAACTGAATTCCAGGGGAGGGAAGCATGGCCCTGGAGTTTATCAAAAGATTGCATCAACGTCAAGGACTCTTTTGTGAATCCTACCTAATTTCCTTCACAGCACCTGACCAGAGAGGGCTGCTGATATGCTGGCTGAAAAGTTGACTGCAACGATCCTACCTCAGGGGTAAAGATGGCTGGCTATGCAACCAAAAAGTTGTGCAACTCTGGATGTTGCAGCAGCCTGGTTAAAGAGTTGTGATTTAGGTTCAGAGTGAGATTGGGACTCTGAAAATTGAATTTGTGCACTAATATTAAGAGGAAAGTCATAAAATAGGTTTTGTTTTAATTATTTTCTTTTCTTAAATTCTTTGCTTCTTTGATACTAACACAAACATGTAATTTGGGGGGCATGGGCTTTTGCCTAAATCTTTCCTTGCTCTAAGTAGGCAGCTCTCTCAGCAAAACAGCAAACCCAGGTTGCAACTTTTTCAGTTGCAGAATTTCATACCAGTTGCAGGCATCAACTTTAGTGGAAAAACAATCATTGCACAGATGTCAACTCTTGTTAACAATCAATGCTGTATGGTAGCAGCTAAGCCTAGTCTGAGGTGAAGATTAGGGAAATTTTTTTGTCCATTGACCTTAAAAAAGCCTTCCAGCATGTGGGGTCCCTCACTTGTGGAAAAAAATCCACAATTATGAGGCGTGTTAAGAGCACCTAACCATAATGTTTGTGATAGGAAAGTTTTTATTAAATCTGACACCTGTTATCAAAATCAGATTTATTATTCGTAAGGAACCATAATTGTAATCAGGAAAAATAATTTATTATTGTGAACCCCAGAGATCTGGGTAGACAGGCATTGTTAAGGGTTTTGTTTATGCATGGCCTTGGTATCATTACTACCTGGGTGATGCAATTGTTTTGTTATGTCAATGATGATATCAAATATATTGAATAATCATGACCATCATGAATATTTGATGGATGGAGGCATTCACATACAAGGAAATGATTAAATAGCTAAGTCATG